TAAAGTGATCAGATGTTATGTTATGGTTAATTTTATGTGTCAAATAGCTGAGGCCACTATTCTCAGTGGTTTGGCAGATTATTATGTAATCATCCTCCATTTTGTGATCTGATGTGAGCAGCCAATCATTGAAAGGGGGTTTCCTTGGGAATGTAGGCAGTATCCAATATATATAGATGTTCTGGCAAAACTTGCTCTCTCTTGATCCTGCTTCTGACTCATCATCCTTTGACTTACCGTTCTTGGGATATGAGCGAGCAGCCTGCTGCCTCACTCACTATTTTAAAATTCCTCATTCGCTGCAACCATGTGAGTAATGGGGAAGCCTCCAACCTGATGTCTCACCCACAGATTTGGGACTTGCCAGCCTCCACAATTGCTTGAGCCATTCCCTTGACATAAGTCTCTCTCTATATATTTACCACAATAGTTAAGGCATTCAGTTGCTAACTAAAAGTCAGCGGTTTGAACCTACCAGGCTCTACATGGGAGAAAGATGAGGCAGTCTGATTCTGTAAAGATTTACAGCCTTGGAAACCCTATGTGGCAGTTGTACTCTGTCCTATAAAGTTGTAACGATTTGGAATCAACTTGATGGCAGTGGGTTTTTTGTTTATATATATTTATAAATATACTTCACTGATTTTGCTCCTCTAGAGAACCCAGCTGAAGATATGTTAAGTCGTGTCTGTCTTGTTAAAAATAGTTTAAAATAAAATAGTATGTGGAAACTTTAACCTTGGAGCAAGGTAGCAAAGACCTTGTAAAAGTTTGACCATTAAAAATAAAAATATACCTGTTAGAGAAGCTTCTCAATATATGTTCTGTTTCATTCTCTGTAAATATTATTAGGATTATGATTTTGAAAAGCAAACTGTTTCATTAACCATGCTAATGAAATTATGGCTTCTCCTAACAAGCCACAGTGAAAAATCATGGGACTTACTGAGGTCAAAAAATTTGTCAAAATGAGGTTGTTGTGGACTTTCCTGCCAAGTCCTAGTGACCCTTCAAATTGTGTTTCTCTCTGCTATTATTTTTCATCTTCCTTCTGCTTTTTCATTTCCTATTTGGAAGTGATTTCACAAACTGCTTTATCTTTTCAATTGTCATTTGCAATCTCTATATATTGGTATTAATAACCACTGTCCTTATTCTTTATGGTTTTGACCTTCAGAGTCTTTTGTTTCTCTTGTGATATAAGAGAGATATTGCCACTTTGAAGTTAGTACCAGTCTTTTTCTTTTCTTTTTTTTCCTACTTTCCATTTTTGGCTTTACTTTCTTGGTTGTTATTTTTACTAGATTACTCCCCAAGCTCTGGTGACATAGTGCCTAAGGCATTTGACTGCTAACCAGAAGGCTGGCGGTTCAAACCCACCAGCCACTCCTCAGAAGGAAGATTGGGCAATCTACTTCCATTGAGATACTGCCTTGGAAACCCAAGGAGGGGT